ATGTACAGTTTGAATAATATAAACATTTTATCGAAGAAAACGTTCGAGAATTTATCATGAGTTTATAAGTCAACAGATACAGAAAGATGTCTTTGACTACAGCTAAGTTGAAGGACCACATGTCGTGGATAAAAATTCCTTTTCCGAATCTTTCAGACGGATATGTTTACTGTAGGCAGGGAAACAGGGCGCCTCGCGTCAGGCCCCCACGGGAGGAATGATCAACTATCACAATAGGTTCCTTGGCTCCTGGGAATCGCCACCTAATTAGTGTTTGATCGCCACTTGATGCTAGCCCAGTTCCTTGCAGCGCATGCAGCTAATTCAGAAAACCTTGAATACTGAAGATAGTGTATTCCAAGAGCGAAATGCATTGTGTGACTCCGGATTTTTCAAAAACGGACCCCTAAAAGATCTCGGAAGTCTTTTTTTCTTTTTTTTTAAGATCCCGGCCAGTCTTGAAAAAAGTGCGTGGCTGACTGATTTTTAATATTGCAAAACAGATATTGAATTAAATCAGTTCCAACAATAAAATGTATATAAAATATTAAATGACAAAACAAAACGCAGAGGAAATTCAATATCGATGCGCCCTTTCTCTTCTTTTCCGACACCCTAAGAAATTTGCCTAAGAAATTTGCAGATAATGCAAATTTCTAAAAACTCCAAATTGGCACCCTAAAAGATTCCCAATCACAAAACTCAAAGTTTACTGAGTCACATGCAGCTCCTCGACTGCCTATTTTTTAATTCAAGATGGCAGCAAGGTGCCCAGCATGGTCATATTAGCAATATGATTGGGTTTCCTGTCTTTGCGCCTGTAGACTAGTCAGCGGTATCTGTGGCAGAAACAAATGAAATCGTCGATGTGATAATTTTGTGATATTTTAAAATGTTTTAAACAAAAGGATTCACATTAATCAAACGGATTCACATTACCAAAATGGGTAAGAATAAGGGTAAAGGTAAGTGTTGGTTATATTTTCAATGTGATCAATGCCCCATAACCGATGATATTTCAATCAAAACACGAACCATTCTCCATCACGTTGTCCAATTGCAATATAAAATAAGCTTAAATTCTTGTTTTCCTGTCATAAAGGACAACCTCAAGCTTCTCGTGCGGAGCTGATGGTAATGACAGTATCAGAGATTATTAAAGAACTGATAAGTGCTCATGAAAAAGGCGAAAATGTAAACTTGAACAAGTAGGTTCACTAATTGCTCTTGCATCGACCTATTATAAATTAAATTGCATCATCATGAAATGATTTAAGCTTATGATGTTGATTCTTAGAGTGAAAGGTGCAGCTGCAAGTAAATATGGATTAAAGAGTCAGCCAAGACTAGTGGATATTATTGCTGCTGTCCCACAAGCTTACCGAAAGGTTTTTCTCTTGTTTACTCATTTATTCATCCATCCATTTCATTGCATTCATTCATTCACTTAGTCATAATTGGTTTTGATTGATATATTTTCATTGATAAATTAATACATTCATTTATTCATTTAATTTTCATTTAATAAAGCTTAATGTGTTCATTTTTTTTAGGTTCTTGTGCCTAAACTAAAAGCTAAGCCAGTCAGAACAGCATCTGGTGTAAGTTGTCTTTGGACTTGTTTGTTTGTCTATTGTATTTTTTTATTATTATATGTTAATTCATTTTTGTATGCATTTCAATTGCAGTGCAACTCATGACTTGATATTTTTGTTAGATTGCAGTTGTAGCAGTCATGTGCAAACCCCACAGATGTCCCCATATAAATATGACTGGCAATATTTGTGTGTAAGTATTACATGTACATGATACTCATGATATCAGAGTATAAATGATGGTATGGTTTTGTCTGGGTATTGAATGTACATCATAATAAATGTATATCACATGATCTAGTAGTGAAGTCAAATGTATGTGTTGTAGATATTGTCCTGGAGGACCTGATTCGGACTTTGAGTATTCTACCCAATCTTATACAGGATATGAGGTAAGGAGTTCTTGCCAGGTCGACACAGCCTATAGTTTCTTTTTGATTGTTATACTTCCAACATGCTCTTAATAGTGGAACCAATTTTGACTGTGCAATGATGCAGATTACAGACAAAGAATAGTCATAAAACCCTGCCTTGTAATGATTCGAAATAAAGATACTGATCCCAGAACACATGATAGTCAATACACGATACTGTGTTTTTTCACAGTCGTATGACGTCCACTCTACCTATACCTCTGAGCACATGGTTACAAATTTGACTGATTTTTGKATCTTATTTTTAAGCCAACATCAATGAGAGCCATAAGAGCAAGATACAATCCTTTTCTTCAGACAAAGCATCGTGTTGACCAGGTAGTTGAAAAAGAAATATCTATCTATAATCGTTATGATACAAAGATACAGTCATAAAGTGTGAGTTGATAAATACCGGGATGGTGTGATTGTTGGCCTTTCTCTTTTTGTCAYRTTACTTTTYGTAACTTTTATCTACTGTYTTTCAGCTCAAGCAACTTGGGCACAGTGTTGACAAGGTGCGAATGGACCTTTTTAATCTTTCTAGATTGTTAATGTAGCACAATGATTAGATTGCCTTAATAATTATGTTTTGTAAATAGGTTGAATTTATTGTGATGGGAGGAACATTCATGTGTCTGGATGAAAACTACAGAGATTATTTTATCAGGAATCTTCATGATGCTTTGTCTGGTCAYAGCAGCAATAATGTTGATGAGGCTGTGAAGTAAGTCAAATATAACTTGCAGGTTTAGCATGAGTTCCAAGCAAACTGTACAATACATGTAATCTTTAAGTATTGAAGGGATTGGAAGACTTTTGATAGTCCCATGTGGCTCTTTTATGAAAAGGTACAGGGATGCTCAKGGTGTGCATGGACAAGTCCCAAAATAATGCACCCAATACCATAACTTGATTTTACTATCATAAGTACATGTAGAAGTTATTCAATGTGCATTACATGTAATGGAATATAAAACAATTATGCAAATAAAATCTAGTATTTAAAAATCCTTAGATATATTTGTATTTCTTCCCTTTTACGACCAAARAGGGAACAAATGGATATCATTTTTCACTCTAAAACCATCCTGTAGAGGYCCTTACATTTTCACTTTTTATTAGGTATTCAGAACGTAGCAAGACAAAGTGTATTGGCATCACAATTGAAACCAGACCTGATTATTGTCTCAAAAAGCACCTTAGGTTTGTAATTTGAATGTACTTTTAAAATATTGTAAACAGTATCATTTATTATTAACGTTGATTCAAGATTCATAGCAAATGACGATCGTTTTTTATCATTCCTTWTCAAATGTTTTGTTTAATGAAATGTTTAATTCCTTAATTATGTGGTTTCATGATTTTTGCAGTTCAATGTTGTCCTATGGATGTACACGACTTGAAATTGGTGTTCAAAGTGTTTATGAAGATGTTGCTCGTGACACTAACAGGTATAAGCTAGTCTTTTAGAGCGGATTTCGTATGAGTGGGACACCGTTACCGCACGGTTACTGCACAGTTACCGSACCTGGCCTGCAMAATTTTGGTGAACCAATGGGGCACTAGAATTTGGTTACAGTACGATTACGGTCACAGTACAGTACCGTCGGTTTCCCACTCATACGAAATCCGCTCTATTGGGCTTCCTTTGGTACTGTAAATCATTTCTTATCAGATGTCTTTCCTTCAACTAATCTATGTTTATTTCTGTTTTGACAAATAATTTGAAAAAATCAAGCTTTCTTACTACCAAAACAAATTTCTAGGACATATATTTTTCCATCACAATTTGAGAGTCATCATAAGACGCTTCATGAAATTACCCCCTCCCCTCCCTTATGTATTTTTGAGAGCTGATTCTACCATCTTTGTCCTCAAGTTGGAATATTCCAAATGCAATTAAACTTTTGTTTCAAATTTGTTTTTAGGGGACATACTGTTAGAGCAGTATGTGAGTCATTTCATCAGTCTAAAGATGCTGGTTTTAAGGTAAAAACCTTTCTTGCACATTTGCTTTGTGTTATTATAAATTATTTGAGTATTTTCATTCTGCAGGTTGTAGCGCACATGATGCCTGATTTGCCAAATGTTGGACTTGAAAGAGATATTGACCAATTTATTGTAAGTATTAAAAATTAATGGCGATTCTTGTAGCAATTTCTATCTCCTGTAAAATCAAATGTTGTGTGTGTTTATTACAACTCATTGTACAATGTGTTTGTTCTTTAGGAATTCTTTGAGAATCCTGCTTTTCGTGCAGATGGTTTAAAAATTTACCCAACACTTGTAATTAGAGGAACAGGTAAATATCTCGTGATTGGATGTAGCTGTTGCAGCTTTACCAATCTATAAATGCCTAGAAATAACACTCAAATTGCTGCGTAAAGTCCCGCTTACACTTGCGATTTCGATCATCGTCTGAGTTTCGTTCATGCTTGGAATTTAGGTGCAACTTCGCGGCGATTTTCGATTGAAACGATTGAATCGCAGGGCTGTTTACACGTACAAATTGAGGTGCTCGATAGGCAATTGCGCTTCAAAAATCGCAAGTGTAAACGGGCCTGAACATTGCTGGTACTGTTCAACTTTAACGTCAACGCCGGTTTCTTGCTTTTTTCTCTTCTTGACWAAACTCTGGACAAATCTCACATAGCAAAAAAGGGTTTCTATTTTAAGTCTTTYAATTTGGTTTAATTCTATCGGAAGGTTTATATGAACTTTGGAAGACAGGTCGCTACAAAAGCTACCCTCCAAACACACTCATCGATCTGGTAGCGAGAATTCTTGCCCTGGTCCCCCCATGGACTAGAGTCTACAGAGTACAAAGGTGACAAACGCTAAAAATGCTCCTTAGTAGATGAATATTTTTTCCGCAAAAAAGGGACTAACCATGAATTAAACTTTTTCAGGGATATCCCAATGCCTTTAGTTAGTTCTGGTGTCGAACATGGAAACCTAAGAGAACTAGCTCTAGCAAGAATGAARGATTTGGGAACACAGGTGAGTGACTTGTAGCGCGAGACTAATTGTTTATTAGCCCCTCTCCTCCAGAGCAAAAACAACATAAACAATCCAGCCAGCCAGTTAATGTGCACAATGTAGTCGGATTAGCCAAATTAAAGATTTTACGAAACACTTTTATTAAGTTTTGATTCACATGTTGCAAGTTACTGGAAAATGTCGAGTCATATGTAGGGGCTCGCACGACGGTTCCCACGGTTTTCTAACTTACGCGCCTTTTCTTTGATTAGTGTCGAGATGTCAGGACGAGAGAAGTTGGAATTCAAGAGATTCATCACAAAGTCAGACCTTATGAGGTATTTATAAAGTTGCTGTCATAAAACCATGARCCAAAGTATAACATTCAAAATGTATTAAATTGTGATACYSCGAAAAGACRAAGAAAAACAGAATATTACATGGTCGAATTTTCAGWGGCMTTTTCAGTATCTTYTCGTGTTGAARATCTCTCACTTTYYAACACTTCAAAGACAAAATCCGTATCTCCACGCGCCCATGTAATATCCTCTATGTATTTCACGKGTGAAGGGAAACCACCCTATCCAAGGATAATGCTCACAACATTGTACTTGTTCRATACAGATAGAACTTATCCGTCGAGATTATGTCGCAAATGGAGGCTGGGAGACATTTTTGTCGTACGAAGATCCAGACCAGGGTAAAGTTTGCTTTGTTTGTTTCTCAGTTGCCGTTGTTGTTTGAATGCATGATTAGTTTTGTATAGTTGTCGGTTTACAGGTTTGCTTTTTTAGTTTGATGTTTGGCGATCTAAACTGCTTGCTTCTAAATCTTTTTTATATTTTTTTTGGTCATCAGATATATTGGTTGGTCTATTGCGTCTGCGCAAGTGCTCAGAGGAGTCGTTTCGACCAGAGCTGAAGGAGCGTTGTTCCATTGTCAGGGAATTGCATGTGTATCCTTTTTAAAATTAATGGTTGGGCTGCCTGTGAAAAAARCACCTGTAAAACGTATAGTTTTTGGCTCATACTACCTCAGTAATAAGAATATGATAGAAGAGGGACACTAGGTTATCAGTTCACCAAAATTATTATAGCCCTACTCTGGGCTAGAAGGTTGCCTTAAGTCGACACATTCTAAGGCGACCTTAAGCGACTTAAGAAAAATTGAGTGATGATTGGGATGGGCATATGGGCGTCTCCAAAGGTCACTTTGGAGACGCCCAATTTGGAGGATTATTCAGTGAGTGGGGTACCTTGGCATCTTGGGGCGTCTTGAGGCTCCTTAAAGGATACTTAAGGTATAACCGGTTGGGAAGCCTTTTTGGAAGCTTAAGGCGACTTTCTGGCCCGGAGTAGGGCTTGTTATATATCACCCTCTCAAAATATAGTCAAATTCTAAAATTGACCAAACGGGTTCGGCATTCTCCTTGACTCTAGTTAAGCTATGGCAGCGTTGTCCCAGTTAGTGCAAGAGACCCCAGCAAGTTTCAACATCAGGTAAGTACATCTTGTCTGAAACAGGAGAAAATGCGTCCAAGCGGTAAAAGCAAGTCTTTCAACATCGCAATTTAGGCTGGGAAAAATTTCTGCTGGATGTTTAACATTTGACATTTTTCAACCAGTTTTAATGTTATTTCGTGTATAGAAATTGTAAACAGATTTTTTACAGTTTTCACTGAGAGTCGTTACTCTGTCTTTGTAGGGTTTTGGGATGTTGCTGATGGAGGAAGCAGAAAGAATYGCTCGTGATGAGCACGGCTCGCTTAAAATTGCAGTCATATCAGGTGAGCAAATCTTTCATTTTTGACTTAGTGTACCACGCTAAACAAGGCTCTCAAACTTTAGCGGACGAATTGTCTTATGTTGACATCAAAATGGCTTCCATATACTGAAACCAATCAGACATCTTGATGATATTTTGATTGGCATTTAGGGGTTGGCACACGGAACTACTACCGCAAGATTGGTTATGAACTTGAAGGTCCATATATGGTCAAAAGTCTGGTGACGTGATCCATGAATACATATGTATTACTTTGATGAAAAATAAAAAAGATTTAAATTATTGACAACATTATGTTGTCGTTGCCAAAAATATATGACGAAGTTTAATTTTTTTAGTACCTGCCTTCTATAGTATTACATTCATTTGTCAAGGGTTTTATGAAAAACATTATATAATCATTTTCCATACTAAATGCAACGAAAAAAATGAGCGTTATTTTTATTGCATCTTTAAAGTTTCGGCGTTGACGCGAATTCTTTGTCATACGCCGACTTTTTATTTACAGCCCTTCATATCACAATACGTATCACAGTACGTAGATTGTAATAATGTTGAAGGACGCTAACACCCTTTCCAGGCCATACCTCCTCACACATGCTCAACGGTCATCTCTTTATATTCAAGGTCAARATAGCGTAGGGAACTACGACGGAAGGAGACCTTTGTACAAAAACGAGCAAGATATCAAAATAAGGCATTTTCAGTTTTATGTGTTTTAAAGTTGAATTGCCGGTTTGTACAGGTGCTTTGTTATATGAATCCAATCRGGGTTCCAACAGGTTCTTGAACTCCTCAAAAAGTGTCACGAATTCAAAAAGGCATTTTTGAGAACGTGGTACAATTCCATTGATTGAAAACTTCCAGAAACTACTTTAAAAATCACTGAATTTCTTTCCAATTTAAGCGTTATAATAAAAAAAGGTCGATAAAAAAACAGTCAAATTTATAAATTTTTAATAAGTTTTTCGAAACCCCTGCAGGATTAAATGTCACCCATGACCAATCACCTGGTGCTTGACTTCAAGTTCTTGAATACTCTTTGAAATGCTCTTGGAAGCATATTTAACAATAAGCTGATAAACTAACTTTAGCCAAAATTGCCGACGTCGTCAGTGCAACACTTTCATCGTCTCATGTATACAGATTGGTCGAGCGGCACAATGTATGTATATTGTAGCWACATAGATTTGTAACGGGAGGGCTCTTATCAGAGATGTATGGGATAGTTCGTTTGTTTTTAATGGAAAACGTAAGGGCAACAAAATAGTTTGCCCGTCAACCATATTATAGGGATGTCCTATCTGTTGAGCGTCATATATATTATATATAATTACTCCCATAAAATTTCTATATTTCTCCATTAAAAGTGAGATCTTTTCAACACTCGAAGATAAAATCCGTATCTGCACGCCCATGTAATAACGCCGAATCGGTACTACACTCAAGGCCGGTTACAATAACTAATTAACTTTAGTATAAACATACTAATGGTCTATCACTCATACTGCGCTGTGATTGGCTACTCTACTAATGGTCTAATTTGTGATAGACCACTCGCGGGAAAATCAAAATAAATTAATTATAAATTATTTATTATTTTAAGGATAATTCAATTTGTTTTCATTATTTGACCGATTAGTATGTTTATACTAAAACAATTAGACCTCTCGGCCTCGTGGACTACGAGCTAATAGCCCATTCGGCCTCGCGGACTCGGTCTCATGGGCTATTAGTTCGTAGTCCACTCGACCTCGAGGTCTAATTGTTAAATATTGTTGAAAACACGTTTGATTTACTTTGTATCTCTAAATGCTGTTGTCTCAGAGCTAGAACTTCTCAAACGGTGAATGGCGGATAYTTCTGAAACAAAAAAGAGAAATCATAACAAAAAGAAGGCAAAAAGAAAATTGAAAGTGGAAATAATACTAGCAGYAATAATGAAAGTGGTTGGAAAAAACAGGGAAATCGTGAGACAATGGATATGTAGATATCGAGATAAAATTGCATTTCATGATTAGACMATCCATTTTTTCTTAATTGCTCATCCAAGTTGTTGCTGCTGCTGCTGTTTTTGTATTGTTGCTATTGTTATTGCCGTTGTCATTGTTGTCGTTGTTGTTATTGTTGCTGTTGTTGTTAGTGTTGTTATTGCCGTTGTTAGTGTTGTTGCTGTTGTTGTTGTTGTTATTGTTGTTGCTGCTGTTCATTGAATGATCTAATATCGATGAACTTAGTATCAAGAAGGCCAAAGACTGATTTTATTCTGTTACTATGTTCAGCTCGTAATATATTCATAAAACCAAATAATAAATTAAGGAAATACAGTACACGTTCTTAAAAATTAAAATCAAATCTCAGTCGATCGGGTGCTGAGTATTTTTTTTTTCAGCTGCTACTTGCATGGTCCCAAGCCAAAATAAAATTTCTTGCTTCAGTTCTGCGAAACAAAAATGAAAACACAAACTGTAATCTAATCTAACTCATGATCATCGGTACGAATAGAAAGAATATAGTACTTGGAAAGGAAATGAAATTGGAAAAGAACAGTGAAACTAGTTGTTTTAATTAAACTCAAACTAGAATTATTGTTAAATTMAAAAACACATTTCCAGTTTAAAACTGGTATTTCAACAAGATTTCAAAAGTATGGAAATARCATGTCTGAATTGAATGAAAAATTTAAGAGATCAACGAACTTATTTATGAAATATTCTTCCATACATAACAGTCACTGTGTCATAAAGAATTATGATTTTTTATTCGTAATCTTCGACAAGCAAAAAACGATTTTATTTGCCRAGTGTCAGCAAGCGCACTTCAATATCRTCAGATTTCGTAAGCGCTTTTCTTTATTTCTTTAATATTTAAATTATAACACAATTCTATTCTTTTGTTTCWMCATCATCCGCCATGCCGCGAGAATTAATGAACTTTTGGAGACGGYTTTCAGGCGTTAGGGCTCTAATTACACTTAGTTGAACAAAACAAACTGAATTTTAATACAAATGCAAGCGTAAGTTTATAAGAATGGTCGACAACAACGAACATGAGATGAAACCTTAAATCATATGGTTGATAGTGTATATAGGTGAGTTTATATTAGAATTTAAGTCGAGCTGTTCCAGTTAAGTAATTAGCTTTTCCATGAATAGCTTCAATATCATKTGTTCTGCAAATTTCAACGTTAACGTTTACTCAAAGTCGGCTTTTTTTATTTAAATGCTGGTTCGTATTACTCGAACTTCTCTCTCCTATGAATATGGTCTGAGAGATAAAATAAAATAAAACAAATCACAGAAAATATAATATGTATATATTTAGAATGATTCCCGCAATGCTTCTAGATGAAGTAATTATTTCAATTTGCTATTTCCATTTTTGTTAAATTGACAGAGTATAGCTGTAGACACATGTGGACCTTTTCCCAACAAATCTGTCTTTTGCGCGGGAAACTTTCTCTAGAAYGYACATTWTGTTGTTYTTCCTCTACTTATGGCACTTTTGTTCATTTTTAAACAATTCATAATAATTCACTAACGCGGTTTGTTATCATTATTATTAAAATTATAATCACATTTTTTGTTATATATTTATCACGGACTAACCTTGCCAARCAAAATATAATCATACGTCATAACAATATAATTAMAATTTTWMCTAATCAGYTCGCAYCCAGTAAATCATGTCGTCCAGGATACGAGAGCTCTGTAAAGATTTCTGCGGCTACAGCACTCTACATGGTCTGCATTTCTTGTTCGATTCGCCATGGACTATTCGTCGAGCCATCTGGTTCGTATTGCTGTTGGCTGCGACATGCATGTTTTTCTACCAAGCACATGAAGCATACGTGAAGTGGAGGAAACATGAAGTCTACATCATGACAAAGTTTGAATTTCAAAAGGTGTAGATCGTAAAATTTACTTGTCTCTATAAGGACTTATTTTTCTTATAAAGTGTTTTGTTGCGCTTAATATGAAAATTTAATTTGCTATTTAAAAATTCTTTCTTGAATGTATTGACGAAAATGCTGGACATTTTTGTTGTTGTTTTGATTCATGATTATATAAAATCTATGCATTAACATTTTAACAAACTTTCATCTTTCATGAAAAACGTTTCATRTGCAATTTTTTGATGTTTTTCTATTTTATGTATAAGTGAACACCTGGAATTACAGATTCTTAGCAGCATTTTTTCTATGTTTGACTTTTGAAGTCGAAAATTGACTTATTCGTCTCGCTGSTCAARCCTTTTCTTCTTTTATCTGACATTTTATTTGCTCTTTGACGGAAAAGACATGATTTGCGATCAATTTSCTCTCAGATTTCATACAACCTGAATACATATTATGATTCTCATCATAAATGATAAATATAAATATTATGATAAATATAATAATATGTTATTTTTATTTTTTCATTAGGAACTGAAGTTCCCCTCTGTTACTATTTGCAACAAGAATATGTTAAAAAAGAGCAAAATACWAGGGAARGACGGACAGCTTTGGCTGGATGGRCAAAACCATCAGTTCAAGAACGACTGGCCAAAAATCCACAGCAAAATAAAACCTTCTTTCGACATCGAGAAGGAAGTTCTTGAAAATGGCCATCGYRCGARCGATATCATCAAGGAAATGAGATTTGCTGCTGTGTGTCAGAACTTAACCGTCAAGAGCTTTTTCGATGTGACAGTAAGTCAAATTAGTCGAATGTGGAATTTTGATTGCTTATATATATAGCCCTTTTTTAATATCAAACTYTAGAATTTATTTATAATTGATGATRTTGATCATGATCACTTAGTGTAGTGAATTTAAGACTCCACATGATGAATCTTGAATACTGATGTTTTATTCATCATTTCTACATATTGAGCACTTATCTTTAGGTTCATCAGTGCTTTATCAGATTTAATTTAAAACGCTGTACGTGCAACCCAGCACTGCCAAAGATCTAAGTGAAACATCCTTGACTTTTATCAGATTTCTGAATATGTTACTCTGCTTGCGTCTTAAATTTTCAAGATTTCAGGGTTATTCGACGCGGGAGAATACACAATCGAAAGTTCATGAAGGTGTTTTTAATATTGATGAATGTCTTTGATCASGTTTGAAGAAGACAGAAAAAAGTAGGTCATCAGCATTGAATTGATCATCTTCAATTGACATGACAGTATTTGTTGCCTTTGAAAGGTAATCAATTACATCGTCAGTAATCAATATCAGGATAAAACCCACCGTACCTTTCGGCCGTAGTGTCCTCTCCAGTCTCCCCATCAACATTTATTTTTTGAAACAAGAATTAATTGACATGTACGCATGAATAAAACACATGATTACATCTAGCTTGTTCCAGGCAGACAAAGCAACAAGCAAGCAACTAACGACAAGTGAAGGATTGAGTTGAAACAGACGCAAAATGTTAATAGGCTGTCATTATTGTTCTGTTTGATGTTCAGTCAGGTTTGTGCCACACCATTCACGTCAAGGGCAAGGTTCAAAAGCTTGGAGAGAGTTATGGATTGTCCCTTCTATTAGACACTGAGCCMCACGAGTATTATGGACCATACAGTTGGGATGGCACTGGGTTCATACTCATGGTCCATGACCCAGACATTTATCCAGTAATGGACTACCACGCTATTGATATTGCTACTGGATTTAAAACTAATCTCAGAATTCGAAAAAAGATGGTATGGSTAATATGTTCTGAATTCCAGTTTACCTAATGAATTATGTGAAGTTAAGTGAAGAAAGTCAAGTGAGATGCAAAATTGAAATTTAATGGGAAATGGAATCATGAGATGCATTTGAATATCTTCTTAATGAACCGTCTCAATTCATACATTTGCAGCAGTGCCTATATTTATTCAGTCAGTCATTACGTCATTTATTTCCTTATATGATAAGAGTCTAATGAAACATCTTTACCCTTTTTTCAATACCAAAAAGTATGAAAATATAAAACTGGATCCGCTGGCTAAACTCTTTTCTATATTCTATCCAGAAAATCCATTTGGAAGATCCTTATCCAGCCAAATGCGGCACAAAAAAGCTTAAAAGTTCAAATGTCTACTCTGAAASCAGATGCWTGATGGAACAATATGCCGATGAAGCAGGAAAGAAATGTGGWTGTCGTTTACTYGGATCACCTGTCATCAGTAAGGGTTGATATTAGGCTTGCAATTATTATGTTGTGTTTACACTTACATGATTATTTTGTAGAGAAACTTCCTAAATGATGAGAAAATTATAACTATGATAATGGTGGAGCGAGATGAGCGAGTTTGAATGAAAAGGCGCTGGAAAGGTGTTGAATTAAAGAGGGGAAAAAAAGGCCAAAAGGAACGTAATGATGGCCGAAGCCAAATTGAAGTTCTTCACCTCGTGTTAAACTATACATCCTTCCTGCGCCAGGGTCCGCCGGATGTAACTCTGCAAGAAATGATATGGATGAGAAAGATTACAATGATGTATTTTTCTAATTCATGAGCTTTCGTTTTTAGGTGAAAAGAACAAAAGATATTGTAATGTCACCGAAATTGTGAATTGCACATTTACCGCTTTATGTGAGTWCGTTAATTGATTTGTATTTTATATTTCTAGTTTAGGGCTTAGTTACAATAGGCCTTTTCGGGGTTAGAGAACAAGTTGAGTCAGAGAGGAGTCTGGAGTCTATGATCTTTGCACCAAAGCGAGGCAGAATCGGCAACAGCACAAAAGCTATAGTGTTTATCTTCTTGCAATGTCAGGAAAATATATTTTTTGGTAAAGAAAATCACATAATTTTGACATGACTTGCATGGCACTTCTGTTCATTTCAGGGCTGCAGCAAACATGTTGCCCGCTTTGGTTTAAAAATCTAAAAGGTCAATTGTTTGCTTGTAATGAGTCGCGATGTGTTGGTGTGGCTTATTTGGTGGCTAGTTTCAGCTTCATTTGGTTTGCTAATTAAAGTGCATTCAAGTTGGTTTGGCCGTTTAATCTACTGTTCTTTAATTTCAGACAACTACAATTTCGATGGCAGTGAATGTCCAACAAACTGTACCAATGTGTTTTACGATGTGCAAAGCTCATCGATTGTCTATCCTRCAAAATCAGCATTAGACGACGACTTGTCTAAAAACGAAACAACTTTATGTGGCTTAAAATATAACTTTAGGCAAGAGTTCAACGAGTCCAAAATTGGGGATGAAACATTCTTGGAGTGGTTTAGGTAACGCTTTTGAATTATATCTCGGTGATTCTAGGTATTCTTCGACGTTCCAAAGCACTAGGTACCCCGTAGTGAATAGAGGAGTGGGCATTTCCAAAAATACACTTAGAAACATTCGGAAATCTTTCTAAGTTAACCAACATCAATCACAGAGATCATTTCTTTTGTTGCAGAGGCAGATATGCCCGAGTGACAGTCTTTTTTTCGTCAAGAGATTTGGAACTAATACAAGAAATGCCTGCYTTTGATGACGTGGATTTTGCTGGTGAGTGACGTCATTTCACACGCAATATTTTCTTCTTCACACAACGGCGAATATGTGAATGTGTTTTTCTGACTTTCCAGGAAACCTTGGTGGTAACATGGGGCTGTACTTAGGATGTAGTATCTTGACACTGGTAGAATTCGCTGATTTGCTTGCACTGGTCACCTTCCAATGGTTCAAGAAAAAACACCATAAGGTGTCCGAAGTGAACAAGCAACAAGCTTCAGACAAAACGGCCGAGACGACCTAGGATCACTTTCAGCTCATTCTACATGATATGCTCCATCAATTAGGATTTTATTTAATATTTGCTATTAATAACCCCTTGATTTGCTAATGAATGTGCTCAATTAGCACATGATCTTACAACTGACAATTAAGAAAAGTTTTTTTTTCACTCTGCACGCTATTTTTGATGAACCCTCATTCTAATTGATCCAAAAARTCCTTTGGGATTTGATGCCAGAAATCCCTATTGGATCCTTACTAAGTTTTGAGGCCAATAAGTCCACTGATAAGGCTGCATACGTATATGGGGACATGCTATCTATGCGGCTGTAACGCATTTGAGGATGTAGAGTGCTGCCATATATATTGAGTGCTCGACAAACTTAACTTTCTCCACGAGATCTAAGACTCTCTAGCTCTCTAGAAAGTCGATTACCTGGACATGGCCGGATCATTATCAGGATCGAGATAAAAATTGAGAATTAAATTATATATCTTTATTTCACAGGAATTTCTATTAATTCCAACATTTAATCTCTATAACATTTTTAATTCTATATTTAAGTCTCCCTGTTTAGTTCATATCTTACATAATAACCTTAAATTTGCATAAGATYTTCTGTAAATATTGTCGTTTTCGTTGTAAAAGTGAGTCACACTGAGGATGAGGTCTTGTATGTCTGCATATAACATTAAAACTGAATATTATAAAGTACATCCAAATTGTTACTCATTGTAATAATACACAGACCATTTGGATCTATACTCCACAACATTTAATCCTGGCACGCAAATTATATAATTATTGATATAAAATATATACCTTTTAGCATTAGTGAGGCTAGCACCTTACCGTGTTAGGTAATGAAGATACTAAAAGACTAAAATCTTATAAGATTATTGATATGTTATCCTCTATTTGATGAACACATGAAATACGTGTATAGATTTTACTTTGTGCCCCAAGTTGGCACAGGCGAACTGTCAATCACATTACATCATTATCAGGTGCAATGAATGACAGGAACTTAAAATAACGGGGCATTTTCGTTTATGTGTGAATTGGTGAACCTACAATCAGTGCAGCTGGTGCGTTCTCATCCGAGTATTCTAGAGGGTCCTTGAAACTCCTTGCATGCAGAGATCCAAAAGTCATTTCAAGGACCGTTACTAAAAACCCTTGAAAACAGCTAGAAAGACTTGTAAATACTGATAAAAACAGCAAGTAAATAATAAAAACCTAAAGGTGACTTGTTTAGTGCATTAGGACTATACAAGGGTAAAAAAGTACAGTGATAGGAAAGAAAAATCAAATTGGATAGGAATGACATAATTTACTTTAATTAAAATTCGACCGGATCATTATGAAATGCAAAAAAAATCAAAATTCAAAACAAAAAGAAAATTCACTTTGCTGATATGAAAAACACCTCGTGTACGTTAGTGTCAATGGATCAATGTATATATTAATGACATTTTATAGCTGCTGGATCGATGCTGGAACTATCGTATCTAAAATATCGTATATCACAAACAAAACATGCCTGAAGTTTTATTTATAATTTTGTACKCAGCAAGTCCCAGAAAGCAGTGTGCAATCGACTCATGAATTGGTAAGAATTTTTATTCAATGTATTATTATGATAATTTCAAATATTCCTTGTTGTAAGCATTAATTAACTTTTAGGTCCATTTTGCAGGCGTCAGAGCTCTAATTAAAACTGAATTATTAAACAAAGCAGTGAAAAATGCAGCGTTCACATTTAAAACGAGTTGGATCTGAATGACGCGACGCAAAAGAGGAAGCTAAAAGTAAGTTTGTATTGTCCACTTCTTATAAAACCAAGCTCAATCGAAGCTCAATGTGCTAATACTTCAAATCACAATCAAAAAATATATCATATAATAGCTTTTTAAATGACTTTTTTCTTTACATTTTTTTCGAAACACGAAAGTGTACCGCGGTTTGCTAACACGAGTATTTTGAGAATAGATATTCTCTTTAAGAACTTTTTCTTTAAGTAAAATCTGCGTTTTGTCTTTGTCTTTGTACAGTTGTCATGGAAACACGAGCTGCATAAAAACTGGTGCAAATTTCAGAATGATTATTAAGATGAAGGATCTTCTTTATTTTTCTTTTTTTTTTTTTTTGTAATTATCATTTCCTTAATCACTTTTCAAGCGTTTCCATTAGTTACATTTAGTTGTTCATCTTGGTCATTTTATTAAACCATTCATAAAACCAGACAGTCAAATTTCAGCTGAATTTCTTACTGATCAGATCACATCCAGCAATGTCGTCCAAGATACGAGAGCTSTGTAAAGATTTCTGCGGCTACAGCACTCTACATGGTCTGCATTTCTTGTTCGATTCGCCATGGACTATTCGTCGAGCCATCTGGTTCTTATTGCTGTTGGCTGCAAGCTGTATATTCGGCTATCAAGCTCATGAGGCTTACATGAAGTGGAAGAAACACGAAGTTTATATCATGACAAAGTTTGAAACGAATAAGGTACAGAGCCTTAAAGAATTTATATCTTATAGGATTTCTTTCTGCTTGATCTCATATGTTAGACATGTTATTCTTAGATTTGAAACTGTCTTTTCTGAATTTGCTATAATTCAACCCTTCATCCTTGCTGCCTATTTTTATCAGATTACATCTGGGGAAATTTTCAGAGCATTCTCTTAATTACTTAATTTCTGGCCTTGAAGTCAATCCTAGACCCGCATTCATCATGTTTCTCACAACTTTCTCCTTTGATTGCTCTGGGAGCTCTATAATAATTCATTCACGGTCAAGACATAATTAATGGTAAATTAACTCATTATTTTATCTTCTTTTCCAGGAATTGAAGTTCCCTGCTGTTACTTTATGCAATAGAAATATGTTAAAAAAGAGCAAAATACWAGGGAAAGACGGACAGCTYTGGCTRGATGGACAAAACTTTAAGCTCCAGAAAGACTGGTCAGAAATCCACCGCAAAATAAACGCTTCGTTCGATATCGAGAAAGAAGTTCTTACCAATGGTCATCGTGCAACAGATGTCATCAAGGAAATGAGATTTGCCGCAATGTGCCCCAATCCTGCTTACAATATCATAACAACCAAGAGCTTTTTTGATGTCCAAGTTAGTTAAACAAATTATCCAATCTAACTGTGTCATGTGACTAACTTATCATTATAACCATGAACTCCTTTTTGTATCATCTTTGATTAGTGATGCAACAGCCAGCTTCTCCAACAAATCGAAAAACTGGTGAAATTTTGAGTATAACCAGGAATACTAAATATAAATCAAGGAGAGCCATAATGAAAAGAACAAATTTAGAAACAACAGTCTATTTTGAGAGTGATTTGTGTGACTCCAAAGCGCAAATTGCTTCCATTGATATAACTCTTTGTTATTTTGWCACTCAAAATTGTTTAAGCATTTGGTGAAAATGATACTTTGCAGCCGAATTTTCTGCYTACGACCTTGTTCTCCAGCAATGATGAAGCTACATGTTCTTCACTAATATGCGCCATAAGAAAATGTGGAAAAAAAATATGATAAAATTTGCATGTAGTAATGTAGTTACATTAAAGGTATAACTCGAGGTGAACAGGTTAATTAATTAAAAATAGATATGATGATATTTGGTAGTTTATCCAACATACTTTGATGTCCAGTCAGGGTTGTGCCACACCATTAACGTTAACAACATGGTCCGTAAGCTGGGAAAGAGTTATGGATTGGTCCTGATGTTAGACTCTGAGTCGCATGAATAYTATGGGCCATACAGCTGGGGTGGTGCTGGGTTCAAACTCATGGTCCATGACCCAGACATTTATCCATTAATGGAGTACTACGCTATTGATATTCCTACTGGATTTCAAACCAATCTCAGAATTCGAAAAAAGAAGGTACGTAAAAAATTATAGAACTGCAATTCGCGTGAGACTTGACCTCGAGGTCGAGTTGACTGCGATTTGACTCCATGTAGAGTGTGCATGTGCTGGCTCTACTTGTTTAAGTGTCACCCAACCATAGAAGACAAATTTTAAAATTCAAATTTGTGAAAAAAATGAAATGCGACTTTTTTCACATCTGCGGCCAGCCCAGTAAGAATGGTCGATATGTGATAGTTAACAGTCTTAACGGTGTAGTGGATTGGATGCGAAATTACTGCCAGGTCTTTCATTTACTCAAAGTGCCATCATCACACTTCTTTGGCAATATAAGTCAACTTGAAATTGCATATCATCCTCCCGACTCAGTCAGAACTCAGTATCAATATTTTTTATTTTGTATACAGAAAATACATTTGCCAAATCCTTATCCAGCAAAATGCGGCACAAAGAAGCTTAAAAATTCAAGTRTCTACTCTGAAACCAGATGCATGATGGAGGAATATGCTGATGAAGCAGGAAAGAAATGTGGATGTCGTTTACTTGGATCACCTGTCATCAGTAAGGGTTGATACTAAGCTCGGCATTGTTCTGCTGGTACTTGATTATGCATGAAGAAAAACAGTCACCACAACGGCTCAATATTTTCTTATCAGCATCCCGTGTCAGGACCACTAAACWTTTCTTTCCACCTAATGTAAAGCAGACTACAAATCAGGAATAATCTGTATAAAGTATAATTGTTTCCTTGTTCAGGTGAAAWGAACAGAAGATATTGTAATGTTCAAGAAATTGTGACCTGCGCATTTACAGCTTTATGTGAGTAACTGATCAGAATCCCATTCCCCTCAAAAAAACGTATTAGAACAGTTATTTATAGAAGAACGGAAGTCTTCCGCTCCTTTATCGACCGTCTTACTGAAGACGGATTAGTAAAATGAGTTTGGTGGGCTGGCTTATTCGTAGGCTACCACTGGTCTAACTGACCGCCCTGTTGCATGTTGACAGGTTTATTCATAGGTTGACAAACTRTTGAGTAAGTTGGGTATAGGGTGTTTAATTATAAACTGGTGCCTCTTTGAATGTTTCGTTTCATGTTATTCTACAAAGACAACTACGATTTTGATGACGATGAATGCCCAACAAACTGTACACATGTGTCTTATGACGTGCAAAGTTCATCGATGGTCTATCCTGCTAAATCGGCATTAATCGACGAAACAACTCTTTGTGGTGTAAAATATGACTTTAAGAGAGAATTTAACAAATCCAAGATTAACGATGACTCGTACTTGGAGTGGTTTAGGTAAAAAT